GGAAGAGCGCAATGATGGTGCCAACTTGAGCCAGTGAAGCAACAACGTCCTCCACAACTATACTGAAGAACAAAAAAACAACAACAGCAACTTGTCTGTTCCCCTTCCCCCAATTCCCCAATAAAAATGTTAAAAAAAAAGGGAGTTCTCCAAAAGCCTTTCTGCTGAGGACCTCAAGGCCCTGGTCAGGAGGCCGGGGTCAAGGCAAGCCAGCATCTCTAGCCCACTTCTGCATTCGCAGATTTTTACAAAACTAAAACTAGCAGAGAAGCAGAAATTGAAAGAAATGACTTTTTAGAAAAGGTTCTTCGTTCCCACCAGGAAAATGTTCGACGTTTGCAGTAATTGCCTCTAAGTTCCCAGTAGAGGGCTAGGACAAGAAGGCCTCTTACGAGGCTAGTGAGATGTTGAAACATTTGAACAGGTCTGGGCAAAAGTCACTCCCGGTCTGTCTGAGACAATAGGCTGGATGGGCAGTACAGAGGAAGTGGGAGCCTACCGTGCTCTTCAAAATGTTCACTGCTGAGTTTCCAGCTAGGAAATACCATCAGTCAAGATGGAAATCTGCGGCTGCGCCTCTGAGGAAATGCACAGAGGCAGTCAGCCTACCCTACCCGTCTTTGCTTTCAGTAAAGGAAACTGCCTGAAAAGAGTCACTCTTGGGCAAGAGGGAGCCAGACCAGAATATCTTCAGGTGAGGGTCCTGAAATATAGTTAAATCATGGTCATTCAAATGATGATCCTAAGGTTTGCCCTGACTCGTCTCAAAGCAACAGCACATGCCCCCACGAGCCACAACACGAAAATCTACAACCTCCGAAGCCGGTTTCCAATCTCCCTCCCCACTTTGCCTAACCTACCATTGACCCAGCCACCAAAGTGACCTCACTAAATAGAGGCCTGATCGGGTCTCTCTCCCCTGAGAATTACCCATGCTTCCCCCATCAGCCATCCTACAAAATAAACCCCAAGCTCACCAGCCTGGCTTTCAGGGCCCTTCCCCTCCCCTCCGCATGCCCAGCCAGATACAGTCAAGAGCTGAGGTCTGCAGACTGGGAGGACCACAGGAGCCAGCCAGCAACAAGCAACCCCTCCCGTGGCGGCTTTCCCCGCAAAGCAGGCATCCTGCCATCCCTCTCACCTGAGTCCCAACGCCAGGAAAAAGTACAGGAAGAATCTTTAGGAAAGAGGGAAGGCAGAAGAGCTGTTCCCATCCAGCCACCAGCTACTGCCAGCCAGGACTCAGAGCAAAGTGCCCGCTGAGACAAGGGTTCAAGCCCACTGCCAGCGGGGCAGCACCTGGGCAGCTCAGAGGGAGCCGGGTACTTTCACAGCATCAGGGCCTCTGCCTTCTATTGCGATGTTAGCTTACGTCAAAGAAACAAAGCCTCCACCACCCCTGTTCTCCCCAAGAACCTCATCTTTTCTTAGCTCATGCCCCCAGTGTGTACTGGGAAAGACCAAGAAGGTGGAGGAGACAGGACTTGCAACACTTTGTCTGAAAACCTATTTTTATGAATAATCGCCCTGATCCTGCTACTCCCACAATGGCTGGAGCCCCTGGAAGATCCCGGACTCTCTACAGTTGTCTTAGTCTATCAAGAATACGATGTTATCAGGCCGGCCGAGCGGCGCATTGGTTAAGAGCTGGCTTGGGACGCCAGAGGGCCC